TCATCTTAGCACTATCAAAAAAACCAAAAAGTGAATTAACCTCTACACGTCAACATGTCTAACAGTTCCACAGGTCAAGTGCGATGAGCGACCAAACGGCTGTCTGAATTGCGAGAGACTTCAGCTAGACTGTGTCCAGAATGGCGGTGTATCGGCAGCAGCCAAAAGACCAAACTCGGGTTACGAACCAGTAGTTGGAATCAAGAGAAAGCGGACCTTCCGGTCTTGTATTCCCTGTAGAGATTCAAAGGTCAAATGTTCTGGCGAGCGACCGACCTGCACAAGGTGCCAACAACGCCGGACAACCTGTATCTACGATGCGGAGCACAACGAGCCAGCTTGGGTGCAGAGTATCAGCACTCCTGCACTGAGCTTACAGGAAAACTCAGTAATGATATCGCCTCATGGCCCGCAGCCTTCTCCAGTCAGCCTTAACATGCTCGGTTCAGTTTTGGGCAATGATACTGCTGTACCTGGGTGCCCGCCTGGGCTGTCGTGGTGAGTTTGAATGCTATGAAGTGGCAGTACGTTGGACTGAAAGAAAGCAAAAAGGTTATTTACAAAGCAACTACCGCCTAAGAACAAGCTCCATGCTTTGTTGGACGCGTATTTCAATAATGTTCACCCTATCCGAGTCTTCGCGTTCGAGCATAAGCCGTCGTTTATTCGAATGTTGGACGAGGGCCAGCTGGTAGACTCATCCGATCAGGCGCTCCTACACATAATGTGTGCATTGGGCGCTCGGTTCTACGCCCTCGACTATCATGAGTCGTACTCGCCCTTGACCAAAGACTTGATACAGTCGGCTGGAACCCAATGGGCCAAGATTGCTGAAGAGATGTTCTTTGCTGACTACAGTACCATCTCAATTACCAAACTTAAAGTTTTGGTCCTTCTCCACGATCATGAAGCAAGAACTGGTAACTACGCCGGCTCCTTTCTTCTTACCGGTCTAGTTATACGTATGGCGCATGCTTTGCAATTGAACAACGAGATATCACCAGACGTACTTTGCAAGGAAGTGGGAGGAAGTCCGAACGAGGTATCTGTCAGGGAGTCTCGGAGAAGATTGATGTGGGCGTGTTACATGATCGATGTCTGGGCTGGTAGTGGCGTCGATCATCTCACTATACTCAATGAAAAAGACCTCAAGATTCAGCTTCCTTGCAACGAGCGACAGTTCTCACTACAGATACCATGTATTACAGAACGGCTCGAGAAAGGTACATTGCTGGATTTCCTCGCCAAAGACGACATTCCAGAGAAACCTAGCGACAACCTGGGCATGGCTTCATATTACGTGCGTATTGTTAGTATATGGCGAAGAGTGCTACGGTGAGTCATAGCAGGTATGATTTCTTGTCCAATTACAGTGCTAATTTTGCATAGCTTCGTAAAGCACATGGACGAAGAGCAACCGCCTTGGCTCCCGGGTTCGGGCTTCGCGATATTGATCCAAGACATACATTTATGGAGACAGAGCCTGCCTTCTTGGCTAGATTTTTCGGCAGACAACATCTACATCCGACGAGAAACCCACCAGCTAGGTGCTCTCCTTCTTATCCATTGCATGTATCACCACGTCATGTGTGATGTGCATCGAATCGCTCTCCCTGACCTTTTCAAGAACCAGGAACCATTTGTCTTTCCCCCGGACCAGCAGGCCTTTGTGGGCCACCTACAGGACGTCTGCTTCGAGCACGCACAGCGCATGTCAGTGCTGGTGTCACATATTCTTCAACATGGGGTTAAGCACTTTGCGGACTCGATATTGCCCTCATTCGTCTATAACAGCAACAGGATCATGCTCTACTACATTGCTAGGATCTTGGATGTATCCAAACCCGACACTGGAACTGTAATTGCACGTACTGTCGAGTTAGTCCAGCACAACAACCGGGCGCTGAGAGACATGGCACTTATTTACCCCCTCGCCGAGTCCCTGTGTATCACTTCGGAACGATGGCTAGAGACTGTACGCGACAGTCTCGCTCGTGGACATTCGGCCGACTACATTGCACCTCAAGATTCGTCTGAGAACGAAGCGCGCCGCATCGTTGGAGCTCCTGCCCCGACAGAAGGCACGCCCCGACAGCGGAACACTGCTGTATCTATGATACCCCCTGTAGAAGAGATACTATCAGCAACTTCGCCGTCAACTCTTCGGACTGCCACTACTCGCTATCCATTTACAGCACTTGCTCCAGACGAGCAATCGTCTACAGCAAGCCATGGCATGAATTCGCAACCAGAGCACCGGATTGAACCAATGTACTCGTCTCCCAGTGCGCCTAATTCGCTTGAGCAGCCCATGTTCAATCTTGATGACCTGCAAAATTTCTTTGGATGGGAGGCGAGTGACGATGAAAATGTTCAGACGACGGGCTTCGAGGCCTTTGGACCCTTGGGATGGACGAACAATTTCTCCATAATGTGACGAGGTGGAATAGAATTGCATGCAAGCCTGATATGTTCTTTCTGAGTAGTCGTTTGAGGCCGCCCGGTATCAAGTAATTCACATTGGTACTGCCTTGACCTTTGATAAGTTTGACCACTGCGTTATTTCTATAGAGTTGCCAAAAATGGACAAATGATACAATACCCAATAACCGGTCGATTGGTCTAAGTGATGTATCTATGGTGAAACTGAAAAAAGGAAACAAACCCTAAAGACCTCAGCTCCCTGCATAATGTCCGAAGTGAATACCAGATACGGTCCAGACTTTGTAGGTGAAACCTCCGTTGCGCATGTGGTAAGACTAGCAAGCCTCCCCTGTACTTAGCGGAGATCTCCGGCACTAGTAAAGCAACCCTGACCAACGGTCGATTCCACTTTCCCCCTCGAATCGCTCTCCATGAAGCTGCGATTTCGCGAGGATACCATTTTCACGACGTTACGACCTATTGACGAATATTTTGCAAACCTCACTCTCTTTCTTGTCTTCCTGAACTGCTAGAGCCTCGTCTGCTCAGTCTAGATTGGCTCAATATTGTCTGCGACAGCACAGAGACTCGTCGACTCGCCTCCGCTCTCACACGTCAAAGTTCACTGCATCTGCAAGTTCGACCGCAATTCCTGCCAAGTCCATACTATAGAAGAGAGCTACATAAAACCTTTGTTTGTTCGCAATGCCCGAGACAACAAAGGTAGTACCCCTCACCTGCCATGGTCACTCAAGACCTGTCCCCCACATCCACTTCTCGTCTCTGCTGGACGAAGACCAATACTATATTATATCAGCATGCAAGGACAATAATCCCATGCTCCGAGATGGTATAACTGGTGACTGGATTGGCACTTTTCTGGGCCACAAGGGCGCAGTCTGGCAAGCGCGGCTGTCTTCAAACGCCTCGCTAGCAGCCACAGCTTCAGCCGATTTCTCTGCGTACGCAACTCTCCTCTGTTGTTTTGTGACATTACTAACGGTTCGTAGAAAAGTCTGGGACACCCATACTGGCGAAGCGCTACACACTCTCGCCCACAATCACATTGTCCGTGCGGTCGCATTCCCTAACCAACCTCACCCTCAAATCCTAGCGACCGGTGGAATGGAAAAGAAGCTGCGGATATACGACCTGTCACGCAGCGACGCGACAAGCTTCGAGATCGGCGCTGGCGTTCATACAGGGACCATCAAGTCGATAGTATGGACGTCGGATCCTAACGTCATAATTACAGCATCGGAGGACAAGAAGATCCGGTGGTGGGATCTGCGACAGGAGTCGACCATTGGAGAGCACGCGGTAGAGGGCACTGTGGGTTCATGCGAGTTGGATAACACCTCCTCGGATGGAATATTGAGCGTCGCTGCTGGAAACAGCGCCTATTTTTTCAACAGTCAATTGCCGGGCTCGCTCATCAAGAGCGTCAAAACACCATACGAACTCGCCAGTGTAGCACTGCACAACGGAGAGAGGAAGTTTGTTACTGGTGGTAGCAATCAGAATGACACGTGGGTCAGAGTGTGGGACTTTGATGAAGAGAAGGAGTTGGAGACGAACAAGGGACACCATGGACCTATTTGGTCAGCGAGTTTCTCGCCTGATGGAAAGCTCTATGCGACGGGCAGTGAGGATGGAACGGTCAAGCTCTGGAAGTTTACGACGGGACCATATGGTCTGTGGAAGTAGATATCAAGTCCACAGCTTGGGTTGCTCGTTGTGTCGTTATGTCGTTGTGCATATTGTCCATGATGACAGTAGTCGGAAGGGCTCAGTTTATATACCACCCTGAAAATAGTAAAATGCGATGAAGCAGAATCAACACTACAAAACGAACTACCCACAACGGACTGACCCAGCCAAAGTGAAAACCGACCCCCAAAACCCAATTACCACTCACGTAGAAAAAACAACATTGTTTTTTTTTTCTTCTTCTTAAAAACACAGCAAGCAAGTCAACTAACATGCCACACTGTCGGAAAGAAGCTACTTACCCCAACCACACGGGGCAAACTGTAGAACCGGAGATACCCGATTCAAACATTGCCGAACAAAAAAAAGGATCGACACACCAATGGGCGAACATGCAGCTAGTTAGCCCGCATGATAACTACGCACCCCCGCCGGCCCATTGATTGTGCAAACATCTCAAGATGGCAACTTGCCCACTCCACCCCGCCAGATAAGATAGTAGATTATGAATGATAACCCGGAATCCTACCTGTTCAGTGCCAAGAGTTGGAGACAACCCTCACCCCCGCCGTTGTCGGCCGAATAGTTGGGTATATAAAGTGGAAACGCTGTGTTTATTTTGTTTTTTTTTTGGTGTACAGAAGGGGCCTCCGTACGATTTGGTGTGTTTTTCCATCGAGTTACTTTTTTGTTGGGGGAGGGTTTCGCGGTTATCTAGTACTACTACGATTCATCATTTGACGTCGGGTTGCTTAGTTGAGACCTCGTAACTATTGCCAGCTTTCCTCCTCCTCCTCCCCTCCTCTTTGTTTGCAGTACAAAAATATCGAAGGTGGTCTGTTTTTTTTTTCGATTGAAAGCGAGAAATGGGGGAAAAGAAGGAAGATCAAGTGGCGCCTGTGCGCGAGCCTAGCTTGGAACGAGGGGATATCAGTGCAGAGAAGCAGATGCAAGATATCGGTGCGGATTTGTATCTCGAAGTTCGGCAGTATTCGCGGGAGGAGTTGGAGGCAGAGAGGAAGGTTGTGCTGAGGAAGATTGATTGGGTTATTATGCCCATGGTATGTCTCTTTTTTTTTTCTTCTTCTTCTTCTTCTTTCTTTCCGTCTTTCTCTTTCGGGTTAAATGGCGATACCAATGAAGAGAAGAGCAAGCTGATAAGTACAAAGATTTGCATGACATACATGATACAATTCCTCGACAAACTCAGCCTCAACTACGCAAACGCCTACACTCTAACCCCGGACCTTGGACTCCACGGAAACCGCTACAGCTGGGTGGCTGCAATCTTCAATTTCGGATACCTGTTCTGGGCGCTCCCTTCAAACTACCTCATCCAGCGGCTCCCAGTCTCAAAATATACAGGGTCGATGATCTTGATATGGTCACTGCTACTATGCTGCCATGTCGCGGCGAAAAACTACGCGGGGATGCTGGCCCTACGCTTCTTGCTGGGTATGTTTGAAGCTTCGATAAGTCCGGCCATTATGAACATAGTCAGTATGTTCTACACGCGGGCGGAGCAACCGCTCCGCATGTGTATTTTCCTCGCCTTCAACGGTATAGCGACTATGGTCGGCGCGCTACTCGGCTACGGGCTCGGACATGCACACTCGCCGCATATCAAAACCTGGCAGCTCATTTTCCTCGTTATTGGGCTGATGAATTTCGTCTGGTCTTTTGTTTTCCTAACTGTCATGCCGGATAGTCCTGCCACAGCGAAGTTTCTGACGCATAAAGAGAGGATTGTGGCGATTGATCGTGTAGCGGGGAATATGATTGGGGTTAAGACGAAGAAGTTTCATGCGAAGCAGGCGGTGGAGGCCGTGTTTGATTTCAAGGTTTTGTGTATTGCGCTGATTGGGTTGGGGTGCGGTGTTATTAATGGCGGAGTGTCGAATTTCTCGTCGTCGCTCCTGAAGGGGTTTGGGTTCAGTGGTATTTATGCTACTCTGCTGCAACTTCCCACGGGTGCTATCGAGTTCGTTATCGTACCCTTGTGTGGGCTGGCGGCGGGCTACTTTAGGAACACGCGGTGTCTTATCCTGGCTATTGTGTGTCTGCCGCCGCTGGGAGGACTCCTGGGTATTCGACTTACGCCGCTATCTCAGCGATGGAGCCTCGTTGGATGCACGTGGTTGCAGTACCTTATTGGTGCTCCCGTCATTCTCTCGTGGAATCTGCTCACGACGAATATTGCGGGCCACACGAAGCGTAGTACGGCCAATGGAATGTGGTTTGTATTTTACGCCGCGGGGAATATCGCTGGGGCGAACCTCTTTCTTGCGAGAGAGGCACCGAGGTACTTTTCAGCCCTTACCGGTCTGATTGTGTGTTATTGCGCCATGATAATTGTGGCAGGCGTGCTGGCCGTGTGGATGACTTGGCAGAACAAGAAGAAGGATCGCCTATGGGGGACTGGCGAGGATGAACAGGCGGTTATAGATGGGTTCAGTGATTTGACGGATATCCAGGCGAAGCATTTCAGGTATGCGATTTAGATGCGTTGATTGGGAGGAATATGAGTGATAGATTCTGAGGGAGTTTGAAATGAATCATAGAGTATACGGGAGTGAGGAAATATATATACCCTGTCTATGGCATAGAAAGACGATTTACGTATCCGCAACATGGAGCGCATCCAATTTCCGTACCAACTCTTCCTCGCTGCTAGGCAAGAATCCAATCCCCTCGCATCCTCCCCGCTCATCAAACTCAACCCCAAGTACCTCCCCCGCCACCCACTGCGCAGTTCTCGCATGCAAACTCGGCTTTACAAGTCCATCTTTCTTCTCGCCACCGTATACTTCACTCTTCCCCCGCGCAAGTGCCTGATAAACAACCAATTGATCACGCAGATACTCGTCTACACAGCCACCATGTTCAATCTCCGCTAGTAAATTATCCGAAACCGTTTTCACAATGTTGGCAACAACGTGTTGTGGCTGTTGACCTGCTCGCACGCCACGGTCATATAGCCAGTCGCGACCTAGTTTCATGCCGGTAGATGTGGTGGCTACCAAGAGGAGGTAGTACCTCTTCTCGTGATGTGAGTCCTCGAATGTGATTTGTACATCGACCTCATTGCTGGTGGAGAAGTGGGATTGGCGACGCTCGAACATTACATCTAGCTCTTCGCGGAAGTGGCGCTCGGTGGTTTTAGGGGCGATGATGGTGGCCGTTACTCGTTCTACTTCGCCCCTGCTTATTAGTTGGAAAGATGGTAGCTGGCTGGTCAAAGGAGTGACGGCGTATGTAACGCTGCCGAGACTAGTGGTGCCTTGGGACCAGCCTCGCGAGTGTAGGTTGGTGGCGATGTGGGGTATTCCGATGAGCTCTAGTGTTGGTAGTAGGACTTGGGTTATGTAGTCGCATGAGGGTGAGTTGGATACGTTTGTTCCTCCTGTGATTTGAACACGTAGGGGTGATGACGCCCTTGAGAAGAGAAGATAGGGTAGTATGGCTTGTAGAACGAGATTGACACTTCCGGGTGTAGACTGTTTAATGCGGACTTCTCCTGCAGAGAGAATTGTGCTTAGTCCGCCGGTGGTATTTGGAGAAAAAGTGATTTCCTTGCTCTTTAGTTCTGCCCCCGTAACATGCGCGTTGGAGGCTTCACCGAGCCATTGGACGCTGGTCAAGTGTTGAGCCTTCAGACCACCACCACCTGAGCGTTTTGCACGAATGTTGTTGATACTGATTGGCTCCTTGGTGAGCGCAGAGAGACCAAGGGCGATACGGACTAATTGGCCTCCACCTTCGAGAGTCGCTCCGTGCAGCTCAATTGGTGATAGTGATCCAGGAGCTGAAGCCATGGTGAGATATGAATTGAGATGGTTGAACTTGGAGGATAGTGCGGATAATCGCAGGAATGTCAATTGCCTTCTTAAAATAGAGAAGCCGCTCATGTCTCGTACATGGCGGGCCTTGTGCCTCCAGATTGCATGAGTGAAGATGAGTCAACCTGCATGGCGACCATGACTGTGGTTATGCGTGAATCAGTTACCAACGGTCGATACAGCACTACCTAGTTGTTATTTGTGCCTTGCGCATATGTATCATATACGCATGTGTATCTGAATGAAATAAAGATGTTTGTCTGCTGTCGGTAATCAAATGTAGTTGCCGCGGCACGTGTCGGCGCAAGATCGACGCGGCGGTCCTGTCGTCATCAGCGACGCCGAACTTTTGATCAGCGTCTCCGAAATCGTCCCCTCCCACGCCAGCCCATCCACCGCCATGACGAATGCATTGATATCGCTCCAAATCGCCCTCAGAACCCGGTAGTCGTCTTGTCTACCTGTCTCAAGCCATGCGCGGCCTGCTGGCTTTCTCCGCAAAAGCCTGGCATGGGCCCGGCAACGGAGCTCTCTTCTCACAAATACAGTCGCGCATCTCGACAATCAAGCCGACATTATCGAGATCAATCGCTACGAAGCAAACACCCAATGCCTCGACCACAAGGGGCACGCCGAATCTGACCTGCCATCTCGCACCCTCCCTTTCTCGATTCGCAACTGCGGGGACTATCCGCCACAATGGCTTACAACACCCCATCCGACTATTCAATGCGTCCCGACATGTATCCGAAGCATCCGTAAACGACAAAATCACCAAACAACGTAAATCCTACAAGGATGAAATCAAAGAAAAAGGCATTGTGGATCTTGAGGAACACGACGGCGAAGCAGAGGCGGAGCAGGGCTTTGCAAAGTCCGAAAAGGCAGCCCAAGCCAAGCAGGTTAATCTTAGTGCGAAGCTCAGCAAGGATGGCTCTGGATCTGGAGGTACACCTGGTGGCATGAAGGAAATCTGGCGGCTCATTAGCATTGCACGGCCTGAATTGGGTTCCCTCTCCTGGGCATTCATATTCTTACTCGTCGGATCTGGCATCTCATTATCGGTACCTTTCTCTATTGGCAAAATCTTGGACGCTGCAACTTCGACGGAAAATACCGATGGCTTACTCTTTGGCATGACTCCCTCGCTATTCTACTTTGCACTTGCTGGCGTCTTGACCACCGGTGCTGCATTCAACTTTGGTCGTATCATCATTCTGCGAATTGTCGGAGAGCGCATTGTCGCCCGCCTGCGATCACAGCTCTACCGTAAGACGTTTATCCAGAATGCTGAGTTCTTCGATGCAAACAGAGTTGGAGATCTCATCTCTCGCCTTGGCTCAGACACTATCATTGTTGGAAAGAGTATTACACAGAACTTGTCCGATGGCCTGCGTGCGCTCGTCAGCGGTGCAGCTGGTTTCGCCATGATGGGTTTTGTCAGTCTCAAGCTTACCGGTATTCTTGCTTTGATTGCTCCTCCAGTGGCCCTCGTTGCATTCTTCAGTGGTAGATCTCTCCGGAACCTCAGTCGCAAAATTCAGAAGAATCTAGGTACTCTAACCAAGATTGCCGAGGAAAGGTTAGGCAACGTCAGGACTAGTCAAGCGTTTGCTGGTGAAGTCCAAGAAGCATCCCGTTACAACCGTCAAATCAAGAGGATATTCGCTCTGGGAAAGAAGGAGGCCGTGGTTGCTGCGAGCTTTTATGGAAGTACCGGTCTCATGGGCAACTTGACCATCATCACTATCCTCTACGCTGGTAGCAACATGGTCAAGAACGGTGTCATCTCAATTGGTGAACTCTCATCATTCCTGATGTACACTGTGTACGCTGGTTCCAGTATGGTTGGCTTGTCTGGTTTCTACGGCGAAATGATGAAGGGTGTCGGCGCTGCCAGTCGCTTGTTCGAGCTTCAAGATCGCAACCCGACAATCTCGCCAACCAAGGGCCTACCTGTCAGGTCCGCACGTGGTCCTATCGAATTCAAGAACGTATCATTCAGCTACCCCACCCGGCCAGCAGTCTCCATTTTCAAGGACCTAAGCTTTAAAATTGAGCAGGGCACCAACGTGGCTATTGTCGCACCTAGTGGAGCTGGAAAGTCGACTGTTGCTAGCCTTATTTTGCGCTTCTATGTTCCAACCTCGGGTGTTATTACCATTGATGGAAGGGATATTACTACCCTGAACGCGAAACAACTGAGGAGAAAGATTGGCTACGTGGGACAAGAACCTGTTCTCTTCTCTGGAACCATTGCTGAGAACATTGCCTATGGTGTGCCCAATGCAACCCGTGCTGAGATTATTGCAGCGGCTCGAAAGGCCAACTGCCAGTTCATCAGTGATTTCGTAAGTACAGAATCTTATCCTTCTAGATCTTTTGCTGACTAGCATAGCCCGATGGCCTTGAAACACATGTCGGCGCCCGAGGCACACAGCTTTCGGGAGGCCAGAAGCAGCGCATTGCCATTGCACGGGCTTTGATCAAGAAGCCCGACATTTTGATCCTCGACGAAGCAACAAGTGCCCTGGACGCCGAGTCAGAGACCCTTGTCAACCAGGCGCTGAACAAGCTTCTTCAAGAGAACAACACAACCATCAGCATTGCTCATCGTCTCTCTACTATCAAGCGTTCTGACCGTATTATCTGCATTGATTCGGATGGCAGGGTAGCCGAGGAAGGCACTTATGAGCAGCTTAGCTCCAACCCTGAGGGTGCATTCAACAAGCTCATGGAATGGCAAATGAGCGGTGGTGAGGTTCCTACCCGGGACGTCAAGAGTTCAAAGCCAACTGAAGAAGAGGAGATTGAGCGGGAGCTTGAGGAAGAAAAGGACGAGGTTCTGGCCCGCAAAAATGAGTAGACGGATTGTAATATTCCGGGGTTATACTGGAGGAATGACGCTAGTGATGGGAGGCTTCTTTGGCGTTTTCATGAAGCAAGCAGGAAGTTTCTTGTGAACTTGTCTCAAAAGACTCTAAGTGGTAGCTGGGCCCACCGGCCATACTGAGCCTCAACGCCAGTACCAGTCTCGGGGTTTTGAGACTTGATGTGTGAGAACATAAGTTAGGCAAGAGAGGCCCAGTAAGTAATGGGCAATCCCTTGCTACATGATTTGGAGTTGTCATTGTACATTGCCCGCCGATTATCTTGGCGGCAACAACCTTTATAACAACATTGTCTTGTTGAAGCTCGCACATGCGAGTGTTTGGTGTAATTGAACATTATTCTCCTCTCATGGTTGCTCTTCAAAAAAAAGCATTTTAGCATATCCCAAGTGATTCTCAATAGTGAGACGATAGCATAAGCAACAGGATGTGAGCCAGGCTACATGCATTGTGATGACAAGTCCAGGCCTCAAGCTAACATACACGTACGCAATGGCTTGCTCCCTCAGCATGTCGCATCAAGCGGAGCCCATCCGCTAGCCCCCCTAGCGTTGTGAATTCGCCCCGCCCTTGCCCTGCACTCCGATGACTTAATCAGGTACCAGCACCACTCAGATGGGAGCACCCCCATAGCATGACACCCGAATTAGTCTCGATACCAATCCACCTAGTCTGTATCTAAAAAGAAGAAGGCATCATGTCTTTCTATCGCAATATTGACGTCATGTATACTAATTTACTTCAGTCTCACCCTACCAGACGCGCTCCCTAGCCCGGTGACGCGAGCAGAGAAAATGTATAACGCTTCCCTAATCACATATAATCACACACCCCCTTGTCTCACTTGAAAAGAGGAAGAAAAAATATAAACGCCAGCACCGCCAGCAAAATATCTGGTAACTTTTTTTCTCCAAATGCTCAAAACCTCACTCCAGACGCCCCTCCGCCTCACCACAACATCCTTTTCGTCCCGCTCGTCGCTCGCCAAACCAGTAACTACACGCGTGTATCTCGTTACACGGAGTTTCCAGAGTACTAGCCGCACTGCATCGCTATCGCAGGGTGTGACGAAGATGGAAGGATACAAGAAAGTCGGAAACAGAGAGGATGCGCCGCCGAAACACGAAATGGTGTATTTCCCCGGTTTAATGAGTGAGAAGCGGAGTTTTGGGGATTTTAGAACGGTGTTGCATACGGGGCTTTACAGTTAGTTTTTTTTTCTTTCTTTCTTTCTTTCTTTCTTTCTTTCTTTCTTTCTTCTCCCTTGCTATACTCATTCCCTTCTTTTAAAGATAGTTGAAGATGCTGATGAGAACGATACAGGCCAGATTGTGGCAATGGAAGTTCCCGTGAATGGAGAGATAGGTGATGAAGTACACTTGGTTGATCAGATCTTACTCTTCACATCTGGCCGGGGACTAGCGACTGTGGCGGGGAAAGAGCAAGAGGTAGCAGCGGGAGATGTGGTTGTTGTGCCTGCGGGGACGCAGCATCAGTTTGTGACGAAGGGGGAGCAGCCGCTGGAGCTTATCACGGTGTATTCGCCTGCAGAGCATTTGCCGAGTAGTGTGCATAAGAATAAGGAGGAGGGGGATAAGGCGGAGGAAGAGGGTGTGGATGAGGCGCCTGCGTGGGCGTTGAGGGGGAAGGAGGAGAATGAGAAGGAGGGGTTGGTTAAGGAGAGTGGGAAGTATTAGGGGAGGGTTTGAGTGGGATGAATTTAATGAATCTGGCTATTGAGTATGTGTGTGGCTCGGGATTGAATGGTTGCCATGGCGAAACGAGGAGGAAAATGTGATAGGCAAGACAGATTTGTATCGAAGAATAATGTTGCAGCAACGTGTGTGCAGGATGTATATTAGATATGCATATATCGCCCTATGCGGAGGTGAAGTTAACAAGACAGATTTCGTCAGTTAGTAATAAGTCGATACTTTTGCATAGCACTATGAATAGCTCAAGGCGAAACTGCTATACAATTTTGTTACTGCCACGATTAGTTATTCCAAGAAACGCATTTTGCCTAACGAGCAAAGCTGAGCAATTGGCGAAAGATATGCGTATGTTTGCATCATCCAGTGGAGGGGAAGTCTTATAGCGTCATGAAGATGTCGTCTCAAGAGATCAGGCCTCCACATTCCGGTGGCGAACGGAAAGGTTGGTCTGGGCCCGCTAAACAAAACCGTTCTTCTCAACGCTCGTTCGACTTGGCAGAAGACGATGCACAACGAGGTTAGACCCTGTGCGTGTAGGCCGATACAACCACAGCGTTATACAGTCAGCCCGTTGCAACGCCAGTCTCACTAGGTGGGGAAGGCTGCGCTCGTCGAGTTTGGCGGGCTGGGGTGTCTGGATAATATCATATCCTGATGAGGTAAGCTGAGGATGGACGTGGGTGGCGGCTCAACGACGTAACGATTCTTCAGCGGCAAGACGCAATCATTCCGCAATGGGATGGACGCGGTACATGTGGGGGAGAAGGCTGGTGGAGTTGCAGGCGTCAAGATACAGGCGTCAGCTTGGTGGCAGGGTTTTGTGAGGGCAGCTGGTGGGGCCCGAGTCTGAGGCCGTGGTTATCAGATGGAATGACCGCCAAGCCATCGGAACCGGCATCTGACAGTGGTAGCTTGTGTTTGGATATGTGCGCGATTATACGCCGAGGAGAATTGCACGCGGAGTTGGCAGACATTGATAGGGGTAGCGGTCAGTTGCGGGTGGCGTCATGAACGGCAGCTGAACCACCACGGTCAGGAGATAGTGAAGAGGAGAAAATTAGCCGATCAGCGATTACTTTCTTCCATTGTACCCCTTGTGTCGGAAAAAGCAGGGCCAGGCCGGGAACGACAAGACCAGACCAGACCGGCCTCGGCGATGCGATCGGGTGGGCGCCCGCACAAGCGTCATTCGGCACCAGTGCAAAGTCCTGGTCTGGTCTGGTCATCTCAGCCCTTGGAGGCAGCGTCGTTGATCGGCAGTAGCAGACAGGGAAAAGCGGCCGGGCGCGGAGGGCAGATGGGCTCGTCACCACCATTCTTCTCCCTCATGCGCATACCTTCACCCACCGCCAGACTTTACCTTACACTACGTCCCACTCACTCGTCTGCGATCGCATCCTTCGTCCTGGGATCTAGTACGCGGCCATCGCTTGCGCCGACTCATTTGTCAGCGTTTCGTCAAGGTGAGCATTGAGTTTGTGTGTGATGCCACCATCTGATAAGCTCAAATTCCGCGGTGCATGGAAAAAGCATCAGATAACCTTTCGCTCCCCCACATTGTCCTCACGTCCGTGTCCCGCAGCTTAGCAAGCCAGCTGAGGATGCGCCTCCTCACTGACTGACTGAAACTGCTGCTCAGATTGGACTGGATTTCGCACACATGAGTAACATGTTGCTAACAACAATGGTTCGCGCTAGCAGTCCTCGTTGTAAACTCCCCGATTCCCACGCCGCTCTTTCGTCTTTTCTCTCCACCACGCCGACACATGGCTTCCTCGACATCCACCATGGCAAGCCCCATACCACACACATCTACCTCACACCCTGAAGACCCGATCCCCTCAGAGCCCAGGGACATCCCCCAATTGTCCCTGTGGCCAGACCAGTCGCGGTCGGAGCCCGAACATATTTCGCCAAAGTCCCCGGGCAACGCCACAGCATGGACAAACAGCAGCGATGATTCAGAGGCTCCCATGACGCCAATCACCGAGCCCGACCAGGCCGTCGACGAGGTCATCGATAAGCTGCAGGAGCTGCCTGCTGCTTCAGTCAACCTGGCGGAGCAGTCGCGACCTCGGCGGGCATCCACGACGCTGATTTCGGACAACCCAAACGACATCAGACGGATACTGGGTGAGGGAGAGACAGCCACCAAGCTCATCAGCCAGTGCTGTGGCGGAGGATGCTGTCTCCTCAAGACACTGGCTCCTGATTCCTCATCGCCCAACTTCGTCCCCGTCGTCATTCCAGACAACCATGCTTTCCGCACTCTCAATCTCAAATTGGGTCCCCTCGCCCTCGACAGTCAACTCACAGACACAATGCCGCTCCCGCCCGTCAACATGGCCTTTGACCCTCTGCCATCCAAGGACACCAAGTATGTCTCCGAGGTACACAAGATGCCACCCAAATACGTCCAGCCACACCCGCCATACGAAGTCTACTCAGCCCCGCTATACCACGCACGCGAGCTGACCAAGCCGGGCGCTGAGAAGCGCACAATTCACTTCGACATTGACGTGACCGACTACCCAGATGAGGGAGGAGTCGACTTCAAGGTTGGCGGTGCTGTCGGCATTTGCCCGCCTAACTCGCAGGAAATGGTTGACGAGATATTCGACATTCTTTGTATCCCCAAGTTTGTTCGCGAGAAGCCAGTCACACTCAAGACCTTTTCAGGAAGATGGCCAACCATCTGGGGAGAAGACCAGCCACGCGAACTCGTCACAACTCGCCGCGAGCTCCTGACCTGGTGTACGGATATCCAGTCAAACCCCCCGACCAAGAACCTCCTCCGCGTTATGGCCGAGTACGCTGAGGCGCCAAACGAGAAGAAGATCTTGACCTATCTCTGCTCTGCCCAAGGGCAGGCTGCTTTCTGTGATTTGCGCACCAGTTCTCACTTTACTGTTGCACAGCTTCTCAGTGCATTCCCTTCGTCAAAGCCGCCGCTACCACACCTTCTCTCTGTTCTTACCCAATTGATGCCACGATTCTACTCGCTCTCAAACGACCCCCACATTTCGTCGGCTCGTCCTGGCCTTCCAGGAACTCGTCGCCTTATCGAGATGGCCGTCACTGTTCACGAAACACCCGATTGGCACGCTGACGGCGCTGTCCGCACTGGCGTTGGCAGTGGCTTTATGGAACGCCTGGCCCACGCCTTTATTACAACCGAAAATGAAGGTGTCGACCCTCGCAGCATCCTCGATCTCCGTGTCCCCATGTTCCGCGGTCTCATGGCAAACCCGCTTTCCAAGCAGTTTGGTGGAGAAGGACCTATGGTTCTTATTGGTGCTGGTGTTGGGATGGCTCCCTTCCGAGGCTTCATTCTGAACAGGCTCAAAAACGCCAACTGCGCCAACAAGATTTGGCTCATCCAAGGTGTGCGAGACTCGATGCTTGACGAGTTGTACTCTGGCGAGCTGGGCGACCATGAACGCGAAATCAAGAAAGTTGTTCAGAGCCGAAAGGTCAAATCCGGGGGCTCCAACGAAGTCAAATACGTTCAGGACGAGGTCAAGGTGCAAGCTGACATTGTGTGGTTCGTTATCAATGCGCTTGACGGACGCATCTTCGTCTGTGGCTCTAGCAAGGGCATGGGCGAAGGCGTTGAAGCCTCGCTGATCGACGTCGCAATGCAGAAGGGCCGCTTGAGTGAGGCACAAGCAAAGGAGTTTTGGGCCAAGAAGAAGGAAGACGGCCAGTACATTGCTGTAAGTTTGGCTATTCACGAATCAGATACAACAGACACTAACTTGCACGTAGGAAACCTGGTAAAATTCTCTTATCTTAAGCATCATTTATCAAAAGCACGACTTTCGTCTCAAAAATGCATGCAAAACCTCAATCAATTCAACATCGCCACGGAGTTTAATTCAAAAGGGCGTCATATAGAAAGGAAGCAGACAGCCATAAACTTTCTCTGTGCGCATCATTAGCGGATGCCGGCTGACCACGCCTGGGCTGTCTTTCTGGGTCGGAGCGTTTGGTTTTTATTAGACGGATTTGTCTGCAAGAGCACGGCGTTAATTCAGGTCAGGTTGGGACCTTTTTTTCAAAGTATCTCAAATTTCAAGTCATCATTATACTGAAGAGGTTCAATAGTAAGTTAGCTGAAGAGATATAACATTTAACAATATTTCAATTCCTGTGTCCTTGATCTGAGTTTTCAGTCTACTCCAAATCTTGAATGTCCGGTTCTGACATCGTCCTACTTTGCACTAACTAGCCAAGATTCGGCCAGCCTGTTTTCAAGCAAAGTCAGTAAACACCCATTTAGAAGTCGGAAAATCATCAAGGAAGACTTACTCCAAACAGTCCTCTCCCTATTCACTCCCGTAACCCTAACCTTATCCCCAACCCTCCATACCACCTCTTCCTTCTCTTTCTCACCACCACCACCGCCACCAACCCAAAACCCATACCTCCCAAACACCGGACTCCACCTCGCCCCCAGATCCACCCTCCGATCCCCCTGCAACCGCTTCAACACCTCACCCTTAACCCCCGTCCCCGGCCTCCCCGTCGCATAATCAACATTAATACTCTTGCACCTCACACAATTATGCAACAGCGCCACCTCCGTCTCTGCTTCCTTGCCCGAAACCCTGATTGTCGACCAGAAATCCTCATCCCACGCTTCCTTGGCACCAGAGAGCAGAATATTGGGTCGGAATTTGGTGATATCCATTTGCGAAGCGATGCGTGAAGAGACGGAAGATAGGGAGGCGGAGGAGGTGATGAGGTAAGGGGCGCAATCGGTGAAGGTGAGGGATTGGGCGATTTGCGGGGTTGATGGAGAAGAGGAAGGAGAGGAAGAGAGGTTGCTGAAGCGTGGGGAGCGGCGGTTTGAGCCGAGGTAGACGAGCTCGACGGGGAAGTTGAAGCAGGTGCTGAACCAGGTGTTGTAAGACTCGGGCATGCGGTACGCGGTTGTGGGACTGCCGTGGAGGGAGATTTCGAGGGTGGAGAGGGAGGTGGGTGTGGGGGTTAGGGGGATGGTGAGGCTGGATTGGTTGGGGGTGGAGCCGTGGGCTAGGTAGTGGATTGTGAGTGTGGACTCGGTGTTGCTGTTATGGGTTGATAGAGGTGGTGGGGAGATTTCCTGGAGGAATTGCGTCATTTGGGGGTAGGATGCTACGGCCATGTTTTTGTAGCCTGTGGGTGTTTTTTCGAGGAGCATGAAGGTGCCTGGGGTTTTTTTTGGTTAGTCAGGTTGATTGGAGTGGTAATTCATGGAATGTGAAGGGCAGTGAAAGAATAATACTAGGTAATGGTTCTCGAATCTTGGGTATAGTGATGTAGAAAGAAAGAGAGGTGGGTTTTTACGATCGTGTGCAAAGCCATGTGGTGTTGCAATTGCAGAAGCTAGTTTGATTGCTCGTAGCGATTTAATCGGGTATACGTAGATCTAATGAGATTGGTTGTTAGCAAGTGAAAGTCTTTCTTACGCTCAAACTCCGAGATAAGCAACGTGAATTTTCAGAGAGTTTAGAGTGTACACACTTCTGATATCTCCATCTCTGGTAGTGCTGCTACTGCGGCTCGGGACGAACTAGACCGGCCGATGAGATAATAGCACACCAGTATAACTGGTGTGACGTAAAGTGCAGCCAGGAGCCATGTTGGTTGTGTCATTTTCGATATTGTTCTTTTTAATTATTCTAGTAAGCATTGGATTGAGGCAGATGTAAGAATGTGGATGATGCCATACTCTAGACCGAGGTGTAAATAGATGGGGTTCCCCCCACCCCACGTACGTATGTATGTACATAAGCACGCCCTTCCGGGACGCTAGGAAAGGGAAAATGTACTACTTTCCGGCATGTCTTTCCGGCTACATGTCATGTTGCAGTCATGCACATATCTTCACATTTGTCTCAAATTTTTCATTAATGTTAATGTCATCGACGAGATCTTTACAACAGTATTTTTTTTATGATCTTAAAATATCAGACTCCTAAACCCGCTTTCCAAAGACTCTAAATCTCTTCACTCCGCCATCAGGAATAATCACCAGCTTTGCGTGTGTGTACCCCTTGCCTGATACTTCCTTCAACTCAGCCTTGTACACATGTTCTGTATCTGGGCCTGATTTCTGCGGAGCCAGTACTTCCGTCCACCCTGCGTCATCATGACCGGGGTCTTTGTCAAAAGCGCCTGCGAAAACCTGCACCTTTTGTGGGAAGTTGCCTCTGAAATGCGCAGTGTCGACGACAATGTGATCAATCTCACCCTTTGCTCCAAGTCTTACAATCGTCCAATCAACATGCTCACCACGTGTGCGCTTCGTTTCCCAGCCATCGCCCATGTCCTTTCCACGACCAGGAAGCAGCAGGTTGTCTTTTGTACCGAAATGCTGGTCAGAGCAAGATGTTGCAACGCCGCCCATGACTGTTGCAGAGAGCTCAAAGACAGCGTCTGCAGATTGAGGGAAAACGGGAACAGCAACACCGTACAGGCGGAAACGCGCAATTCCTCCATCTGGGTACATGAGCAACCGAACATGAGTGTATGCCTTTTCAGTGATGTTGGGAAGCAGCCATCCATGCCTTTGGCTAGGTCCGCACTCCTGCTTTGACAGTATAGTCTCCCAGCCTGCATAGCTTGGCTTCTTAACCTCCTCTTCATCCTTCTCATCACTGATGAAAGCGCCTTCGACAGCAATTTCTGGAGCGTGGTTGCCGTTGAAATGAGCCGTATCAATCTCGATACCTGCTACTTTTCCGCTGGCAGTACCCAGTCTCAAGACGACCCAGTCTGCAGGCTCTGGGTTGTGGCGGCGCGTCTCCCAACCATCGTACCAGGCTCCGGTATGGACGAAGACACCCGGTTTACGGATTGGTGGAGTTGGTGTTATCAGATTTTCCGCAGCAGCAAAGTATTCATCGCTGAAGGACAGCACCTTTGAACCGAGAGGTGCAGAAATAAGGTCTACACAGTGTCAAAAAAAATACAGGAAGAGCATATATTGCAAACGTATCATACCTGTGTACTTTGACTTGAATGTTGAATCGATTTCCTCAATTGGAATTGAACGGGCCATAGTGTAGACTTTGACAATTTATCAGAAGGTATATGAAAAGATTCAATGCTAGAATTTGGATGAATTGACAAAAAGAACGGAGAATCGACCGCTGTTGGAAAGATGTATGAGACCAACACGGGACTATGGCGGGGTGGTGGGGTAGCTTAGACCCTGTCAAATAACGCTTGCTACCTATCGGAGGCCGCCGACTCTGGATATTCAAGGGCCGATGGCGGAGTCGAGCAGATAGCCGGCATCACTATTTTCAATCGAGTAATAATTTGGTATTAGACCAATCGCCGCCATACCTTCTGTAAATTTTTAGATAATCATAAAATTGGGAAACTAGCACAAAAGCATCTAACCCAGAGTACCGTAGTCTGATGGGTTTCAAGCGCACAAAGGTCATCAGTCGGTTAAACCAGGTCATGCTAGTGAAATATTGACATCTTCGCATTTGCTGTCAACAGCACTAGGCATATTAAGAAGAATCTATCGATCTCTTGATGCTACAATGATATCCAATCGGCCCGGTTCATCTTACATCTCATGCCTTCAACCCAACCAGCCACCAGGCCGCCTTTACGAGCGTCTGTGGAGTATGCAACAACACGGGGAGTGGCTTTTAACCCAACAGACATTCGTTGAAATACGGATGCTTCGCTCATAACTGAGCTAGTCGCGGTTGATATTTTTCTACTGGGAACCGGCTCTTGCCACGGATACGACAGTCGTGGCAGTGGGTGCTAGGCACGACGTGGCTTGAAGGAATTCGGTCTCCAACCAAACCAGGCAGAATGGAAGCAACTAGCCCGTACCGTAATCAGCAAGGATTTGCAACTCTATCAACTTTCTCTATCTTCACCCAAAGCTTGGGTCATTCCATGATGACTCTGAATAGTATGAGCTGCCATTCTTGTTCATGCCGCCACTTAGATCTAGTTTGGCCATGAACTCCGGAGGTACAGTGGGAATATATTTCCGTTCCCTTTCCTTGTTGACGCCGCCAAAGCCGGCGCCGTAGCTGATGAGCATATCTGTCGATGTTGGTAATGAAAACGGTAGCATATACGAAGGATCCAGAAGAAGCTCGTCGGGAAGTTCGTCATGCTCTTCCTCATCAGACATTCGTGAGGGCGCAGGCGAGGGCTCGATCGGTCTCTCGGCAGTCGGTCTGACTGGTGTGGTCGGCGCAGAGTCAGGATTCGGTGATTTCGTCTTTGCAGCTTTTCGATCGGCTGCGGCCTTTTGTAGATGGACAATGTATTTTGATGCGCTTTTTGGGAGACCTTTTTCGCCGACTTCTGGTCTGTAGTATTTTGCGGTATGCAATAGTTGTTGAGGCGACAGACGCGTCAACTGCTGCAATGTTCCTACAAGCGACTCTAGATCCTCGCCAAGTGATGAGAAACATTGCAACCATTGAAGTAGCTGGATCAAAGGCTCAAGGTGCCGCTTGGCAGCATCTGCAGTGTTCTCCCCAGTGGAGGTCATGGAGCCGTTCTCATAGTGCTCTGGCTGCCGGTTGTTTGACCGTGCCCAGTCTTCCAGTGTCGAGACGTTCATGCGTATTTGCATAGCCTTTGTCCGAGCTAGGTATTTTCGATTGGACATTATACGGTTGAAAACTTCGGCAGAAATCCAGTATATCAGCTGCGATAGCACCTGGGCTGTAATGACAGAATGGACGTCGTAAAGATCAAGAACAAACAAAGTAGATGCAAGAAGGGAAGTAATGTTTCTTGGTGAGGGCTGCGCTCGACGCTTCGGAGACGGCGGTCGGAAGCGTTTCTCAAGTGGCTCTACGGGCTTCGCCTTGGGCTTTGAACGAAATATTTTCCACTCGTGCTGGAAATGCACATCTTCAAATCCGGGCATCGGCTCGTGGTCCAGCATCGCCTGGTCAAGATTCTTATCCATTCTCCGCTCTGCATCACGAATGATCAAGATGAAGATTTCATTGATCAGTTCGGCCATTTGGAGTTGGAAGTTGTTGGTGGCCCCCATCAATCCGCCATCTTTTTTGAGATAATGCAAAAGTAAAGTGGCGTTCGACATCCAGAATGCTAGCACGGTCATATCCCACTGATGTTTTTCGACCACGTCATTAATCTTGTTCATGGCAGATACGAGTAATGTTTCGAGGAGTTCGGGGTTGGCATGATAATGTGCATACCGGGCACTGAGGAAGAGTATGTTTGCAGGTACCGGCTTTTGCGACGGGGAGCGTTGCGGTGTCATGTTTGTGATGATGATGTCGAGGATGCGTTCAAGCTCGTTTTCTTGGAAGACAAACATTTGGTCATTGAGGCACCTATCCCATATAAACTCTTGGGCTTCTTCCTCTGGCTCTTCAGGAGACTATATCGGTTAGCGGTGCGTTCACGCTGGGAATTATAGTCCATACCTCTGGCTGCTCGTCCAAGCCAAGATTGCCAATATCCACTTCCAGGTTGAAGGCGCTTTCCATCATCATGCGCCGCTTCATGTCGTTCTCCTGCATCTCCTGCTCAAAGCGATCTTGTGAGAAACCAGAGCTGTAAAAGTCATCTCCAACGCCCACGTTGCCAATGGCATATCCGCTCTCGTGCAGGTATTCGGAAAGTTCCGTGTTGGGCTCGACAAAATCGAATGCGGTCCTCCCGCCCGAAGACTTGACGTCCGTGGATGCCCCGTGTTCTAAGAGGAGTTTGACGATATCCTTGTGTCGGTTCGTCATGGCCCACATGAGGGGTGTCCAGCGATTCCTGTCCTGTATGTCAACAGTAGCGCCTTGGTCGAGTAGGGTTGCAGCGACATCCTCGTGGCCGAAGCAGCTTGCGTAGACTAGTGGCGGTGTGCCCTCGGCGTCGACTCCATTGATATCGATGTATTCCCGTGCTTTGCCGTCGAGTAACCGCTTCACTCTTTCGAGTTCACCGTTGGAGGCAGCCAAGGTGAAGAGGCCTTGCAGGGCTTCCCTCTTCTCCTCGTGTGACAACTTGTCGTCAGCGACCACTTTTGCTTCATCGCCTGCGTTGTCGTTTTTTAGGCGTGCCTGGTGGGCGAGCATCTGTACCAGACGGCTATCGCTGTCCTCGAGCTGCTGCATGTCCTCATCGCCAAAGGTCGGGTCGTCGAGCGAGAGGTTGAAGCTGAGTGGGCGGGCGGGCATGGGGGTGGTGAGGAATTGCGACTGGCCTACGTGGTGTTAGCGGCCCATCTTGTAGCATGGCTCCTGCCGGATGCACCAGCGCCTACCTTGCCATGCATCGTATATCTCAGTCTCCTCGTTCATTATGTGGACGGGTCTCCTGTCATTGAGCGAGGTGGGGAGATCGGGGGGCAGTTGGCGTGGCCTTTGCGGCTCTCCGAGATCGCCTGAAAAGGCATGTGCGTGGTCGGGAGAGTCCATGATGTGACATTGAGTTGGGAGCGAGGCGGAAACGTAAGCAGCGGGCGCTCGTCAAGGGCAGCTATCTCTGGGGGAGATGCATGAGGAGAGCGAGAGTAAATGTCGGGGAGAGTGCTGGCCACTCGGGGCGTAGTGGGGCAAGTGCGGTGCAGCGGTAGGGTGCGGTGCGGGAGCCACGCTGGCGGGAGGAGTGCGGCGAGTCGAGCAGTTCGCAGCCAGGCGGTGTCGAGGGCGTCGGGGTGCCAATGGTGGCGGTGGTGAGGATATGGGGAGGCGGATGTATGTGAGTGGTTGTGCGTATGTATGCGGAACGGGTGCACCGCTTGTAGTCGAGGATGAGGCCGCTACCCGGCTGGTGACGCGCCACGGCGATCTGCTGCACTAGGCCGTATCAAGCTGTCACGTCTAGAGTACCGCGGGGGTGATTACATGTGTGCACCAGCAGTGGCCGCATTCGCTCCAGATGGGCGGCTGATGCTGCTGCTAGACGGCCCATGTTTGGAGGGGCGTCTCAGTGGACATGTGTACTGGCGGCGATGCAGTGGTGGGCAGACAAGGCGTGTATCAGCGGGGGCAGGCAAAGCAAAGGGCCCAAGGCGGTGGTGGCAGGCCAAGCGCATCTCGATTATGACGTCCTCCACACCCCAAGCAGCGAACCAGCGGACGAGGCCAGGCGCAAGGCTGCTGTTGCGGACCGCGCCCATGTGTTGTGGCTGATGGGCCATCAGTAAGCACGCGTTGGAGTCCTGCTCTCCACACAGCACGGCTGCTCGTTCAACGACGATAGAATCCACCGCCCCCCCTCTCTTGCCACCCCGACCCTCGTTCCTAATTGCGCCCTCGCCATGGCAGTCGCACCCCAAGTGACTGCGTGATCCATCCGCCTGCCACCCTGCCACCGCGCCCGCTCCGCCCAAACCCGCTCCTCCATCCCACCAAGAGCATGCCTTAGGCCCGTCGCGGGCCCCAACAACCACACCCACACCATGTCGCCCAGCCAAGCCACCGGCCGGGCAGCGCGCTTTGCCCATATTCTTGCGCGCCTGCAGGAGCTCCCCAACTACGTCTGGGACTCGGAGATTGAGCCTTTCCATTCGGTCAGTGCCCGACCTCCTCCACCACCAACACCTCGCCCGTCGCAGCAAGTGCGCTAATCACGTGCAGTCTTATGACAATTGGCATTTCTTTGGTTACGAGCGGACACCCCCGCGCCAGGAGCGCCCGCTCTCGAGGGGAAGGAGCGACATCACCTCATCCACCACCTCGCACTCACCGGGCGCCACCCGCCCAGCTTTCCACCGCAGCCACCGCAGCTCCGGCTCAGAGGCGAGCGCCTCCACTGTTCAAACACACCATACACAAACCACCGCCAAAGCCCTTGCTCCCGATGGCCGTGCTGTCGTGTGCCGCGTGTCCCAGCACACTCTGCGACTGGAACGCGAATTCCACCTCTCCAAGCTGGTTGTCAAAGAGTCGGATCCTGAGGGCAGACACTTTGTCCGTCCCATAGAATTTGTGCGCCTGCCTGCAAGACATGGAGAAAATCAGCTGGTTGCCAGCATATTCGAAGCTCCAGGCCCAAACTTCCTCAAGGAATTGGTTGATTTTGGGCCAAATTGGTACAACTGTCACAAAAACATCAACGGCAGCAACCCGCCCCAATTAGATGCTCTTCTGTCCAATCATGGTGTACCCCTCCTGACTTTTCTCGATTTCGCCGTTGGATCAGTAGAGTGTCTGGAAATACTGCACCACGGCCATGAGATTGTGCATGGCGAAATCCGTGGTGACGCTTTCCACTTCGCAGAATCAGGCGTGGTCAAAATGATTGTAAGTAGTTTCTAGTGCGTTCGCTGCAAGAAAAACCTGCTGAACTTGAACAGAATTTTGGAAGCGGGGCACGTTCGTTTGAAAATGGCCTGACAAGTGCTGGCTGGAGTGCGTTATCCAAGGAAACCGGGGTTGAGTTAAAGCTGGCTTTCATCTCTCCCGAACAGACGGGCCGCATGCCTGCCGAGCCGGATACCCGAACAGATATCTACAGCCTTGGCATCCTCTTCTACACAATGCTCTGTGGACATACTCCCTTTGACGGAAGCACTGCTCTCGATGTAATGCAAAACGTCATTAGCAAGCGCATCCCTCCTGTCTCTTCCATACGTCTGGACATCCCCGAAGCTCTCTCTGAAGTCATCCAGCGAATGACGCAACGAAGTATTGAAGACAGGTACCACTCTACCTCGGGACTCAAGCACGACCTCGTTCGTATACGCGAGCTGCTCTGCGAAGGCGATGTTGAGAGATTGAAGGCATTCCAGGTTGGCTCAAAGGACATCAGCTGCTTCTTTAATCTTCCACTCAAGTTGATTGGGCGCGAAAAAGAACGAAAGACAATAGTCGATGTGATTGAGCGAGTAGCGAGGCACCGCCGCAACGGTGTCAAAAACCTGCAGAGCATGAGTTCAGGATCGTCTTATTCAGATCAGCGACTGGATCTGCAATTTGATGATCTCATCTCAGAGAGTACCAGTTCGAGAGGTTCCGAAAGCAGGATGAACAGCGTCTCGGCAGACGGGCCTGTTTTCATGGAGGCGGCTCGATCGATACAACAAGGCTCCCAAGACAGCATCACACAATCAGAAACGTCTACAGCTGACGGTAGTATGGAAAATCGACCCCAGCTGCAATTCACCCATAGAGGGCGGTCTAACAATAGCATTGAGAACTCAGCACTCCATTCTCGCTCACATCAATCCAACGATGGTCTGCGGACTTTAGCAAGTACACGGAGACTAAGGCGCAAGGCTCGCTGCGAGGCAAGTGAAATTCTATCATCCTCTTCCTGAACCAGCACTAACCTGTAGCAGGTATGTCGAGGATCAAAATGCTACCCGCCTTTTCAAATCACCAATCAATATGTACTAATATATCATTGTAGGTAATAGCAATTGGCGGAGCCACTGGGCTGGGCAAGTCCCGCTTAGTGCAGAGCATACAGAGCACTGCGCGGAGTACGGGTTACTTTGCAATGGCCAAATTCGACCCCGATAAGAGGGCGCCTTTCGATCCAATCCTCAGACTCATGTCCTCATTTTTCAGACAGATATTTTCAGAAGCGGATGTCACAACCGAATTTCACCAACGATTACGCCACTATCTCAAGAACAGCGGCGTTTGGATGGTCCTGCGGAGTTATCTTGATCTACCCGAGTGGCTCTTAAACACAAACAACGGGCTCAAAACACCCCAGCAAAAGGACATAGATTTTCTCAAGGATCGTCGTGCATCCTCTCCTGCCGTCCATTGTGGAGGTGCTGGGCATACCGCTGAGGCTTGGCTACGAAGTGGAGGCGCCTCCAAATCGTCACGGTTCATGAATGTCTTTATTGACGTTCTGCGGCTTCTTGCAATGCACAAGCTCTGTACTTGGAGTCTGGAAGATGTCCAAAACGCCGATCCAGAAAGCGCGGAGCTCATACACCACATCGTCCAGGCCAAAATACCCCTTGTTTTGATGCTGACTTACACCGATGAAGAGACTTTGCCGCGGGAGCTCGTTCCCCTTCTTCGAAATGCTACAAAGGTCCAGCTGCTACCCTTCACCGAAGTTCAAACTGCCGAGTACGTGGCGGAAACTCTCCATCGAGATCATCAGTACATACTTCCCCTGGTGGCTGTCATTCAGGAAAAGTCTAGAGGGAACCTATTCTACATACGAGAAATACTAGACACATGCTATAGGAAACGATGTGTCTTCTATGAATGGCGAGAGAACAATTGGGTTTTCGACTTAGATAAAGTCTTTGAAGTCTTCGAATCCCCGGACTATGGATCTGCGGTTACGACAGATTTCATTGCCCGACGCCTGACGGATCTGCCCCATGAGAGCAGAAAACTCCTTGCGTGGGCTTCGCTCTTGGGCGGTACATTCTCTTTCGAGCTTCTGAAGAAACTCTTGAAGCGGACAGGCCACGAACCCCCTGGGGCTAGACTGCCGCTCTTCGACAAGAACGAATGTGCCGTCACAGCACTCAATGAAGTACTCAAAGCCTATGTGCTGATGCCTGCGGAACAAGACTCTCGGTTCAGATTCAGTCATGACAGATACCTGGCCGCAGCCTCCAACTCGTTGGACAAAGAGTGGGACACTCAACTGATGCACTTTATTATCGCCAGAATGATCATCTCCGGGAAGGAGTACCTGGACGACCCAGAATTGAGTTCAAAGGCTTTATATATGCAGAGCCGCCACATCTGTCTTGCTGCAGAGTTGATCAAGTCCAAGGAACCAATACGGGCTCCATTTCGTGACATGCTCTATCAGGCAGGAGAGACGGCATGTGAGTCCGGCGCGAGATCAACAGGTATCTACTACTTTGCACACGGCCTCAAGCTGTTGCAAGATGATCCATGGGATGAAAGCAAACCAGATGTTTCATATCAGGAGACTTTGCAACTTTTTGTTCGTTCAGCCGAGTGCTATTGGCACCAGGGCATGTATGACGAAGCCCTTAGTTTGATCGAGACTACATTTCAACATGCGAAAAACCCATGTGACAAGGCCAGCTCGTTCATCCTTCAATCCCGTGTCTTTGCCGTTCGTGGCGATAGTTTGGGGTACGTAATTCCACCTTCCCTCCTTACAGAAACGACTGTCATATCTTTCTTGAGTTGTACGCTAACAATATCACTATCTGCAGAGCACTTCAGGCTTTGAAGAATTGTCTATCTATGCTTGGGTATCCTATACCTCCCACTACGTGGGAAGCCTGTGATGCACAGTTCCAAAAGCTCTACAGTATGCTTCAAACGACTGACAAGAACGAACTGCTTGCGTCCCAATCGCTAACAAACGACCGCGTCCTGATGACCATTGGGCCTGTATTTGTTGAGCTCCTTAGTGCGGCGTTCTGGTCAAACAGCTTACTGTTCTATCAAGCAACACTAATGTTAATCCAAGTGCACCTTGACCGAGGCATCATATCACAGGTAGCGCTTGCGTACGTACACCTTGGCAGCATTGCTGGTGGCCGATTCAACATGGTACAGTTTGCTGTGGACATGGGCGATATAGCAAAGCGGATTTTCCAGATGTTCCCCGAAGATTACTACACCTTAGGCAGAGCCCAGACTCTACAGCCTTTGTTTCTTGGCCACTTGGAAGGGCCACTTGGCGATTTGATTCCTTTTCTGGAGGACGCTTTACAGGCTTCTCTGACTGCGGGCGATCGTATTCTCACGCTCTTGAATGTTGGTGTTCGGGCTTATTTCAAAATCATGGCTTCTCATGACGTCGCTGAATTAGAGGCTTGGATCGAGGAAACACCTCTAGACATGAAAAATTGGGGAAAAGACTTAAGAGGAGGTGTGTTTCTGATAGCCAGCCGCCAATACGCGCGAGCTCTTCAAGGAAAGATTGACACAAACGACGCATCATCGATCTTCTCCGATCACGAACACAATGAAGCAGAGTACATCAGCTTCCTTGAAAAGACAGCGAGCAATCCGAAGCGGCCAAAGTCGATATACCTTGCTATGAAACTTCCAGTATTGGTGCTCTTCGGTTTCAATCCGGAGGCTATTGCTCTTGGTGAGCTATTACTGCCCATGATAAGCAGCATGTGGTGTGAACGGTCAAACTACTCGGTGCGGTATTATTTGTCAGTGGCATATATGGCCGTTCTCAGAGCGGACCCCCAGAACGCTCGCAAAGACGAAATGCTTCGCCATGTCCAAGATACACTGAAGCTGCTCGATGTGTGCTGTACAATTACTGATGCCAACTACCGAGGCTGGAGGCATATTCTCAATGCCCTTGTAGCAGAGAGCAGTCTCGACTATACATCTGCGCTGCAAAATTACGAAGGTGCCATGGATCATAGCGAGACTTACAACTTCACACTAGACGAAGCATTTGCTCTCGAGTTATATTCCGAGTTTCTCATACGGAAAAAAGCTCATAGGGCAGCCCGTCATACGATCAAGGACTGTCTCTCGACATATAGAAGAATGTCAGCATTTGGAAAGGCGAATCACTTCGCGAGCAAGCACAATGCTCTTCTCGGTCGCAGTGCTCCATTTACTGCTCAGGACGTTGGTGTCCAGACTTCGATCACTGAAACAAACAACACAGCCTTCCGGCTCGAACAGAATGACCTGGGGACTGAAACGGCTGTTGATCGGACGCAGAACTGGATTGTCCCAGAGGGCACCCGTCGCCAAGAGTCCGCTCAGGGTCTGCAGAATGGCCTATCGGCTGTTGGTCTCGACATGTTAGATCTTTCCTCTATCCTTGAGTCAAGTCAGGTTCTTTCGAGTGAGCTAGTGGTAGATAAACTCATGGCCAAGATGAGTTCGATTCTCTTGGAATCCACTGGAGGAACACTTTGTGGCATTGTCGTCGAGGACCCACAGATTGAGTGGTCTATCGCATGCGTAGCTACCAACGAGCCCGACAATGACAGTGGGTTCAGTTCGGGTGTTACATCATTCCCTGCCAGTCAGCCTTTGGACACTGTGGACGATGTGGTCGCTAGACAGGTGACACTCTACACGTTGCGCTTTAGGGAGACCGTCTTTGTTCAGAACCTGCTAGAAGACGACCGTTTCTCCAACGTCTCAGACTCGTACCTGCGACGCAACCCCGAAGGTAAAGCAGTTATTTGTATCCCTATCGTACACAGTGACCATCTCTTGGGTTCGATTTATGTCGAAGGTCCGCCAAACTCGTTCACCGAACGAAACACGCAAGTCCTTCGATTGCTGGTCAACCAGATATCCATCTCTCTGGCGAATGCGCTACTCTTCAAGGAGGTTGAGAGGGTTTCTGCAAGTAACGAGGCAATGCTGGAGATGCAGAAACGGGCCTTGGCGCAGGCACGAGCTGCAGAGATTAAAGCGAAAGAGGCCGAAGCAAATGCCATTCGCAACATGAAATTGAAGGAGGAAGCAGCAAAGGCCAAGAGTCTCTTTTTAGCCAATGTTTCGCATGAACTGCGCACACCCCTGAATGGAGTCATTGGCATGTCGGAACTGTTGAAGGCGTCGCCTCTCAACGGAGAGCAATCAGGATATGCAGACTCGATTCGTGTCTGTGCTGATACGCTGCTTTCGATCATCAACGATCTGCTTGACTATTCCAAACTCGAGGCTGGCAAGATGAACGTCATGGAGATGCCGATTTCGCTCAATGAGACCATTGCCGAGGTTGTTCGTGCGCTTGCGTACACAAATGCTGAGCGAGGCCTCAAGACAATTGAACAGCTGGAACTAGATCCGGAAATGCTTGTCATGGGTGACCCTGTCCGGCTTCATCAAATTCTTATGAACCTACTATCCAATAGCTACAAGTTCACGCCAAGAGGGTCGGTCACGGTTCGTGCAGTCGTTGATCAAGAGACCAGCGAGTGGGCAGATGTGACTTGCAGCGTCATTGATACTGGAATCGGCATTCCAGACGAGCAGAAGCAAAAATTGTTCCTTCCCTTCTCGCAGATTGAATCTAGCTCTGCCAGAAGCTATGGCGGCACAGGTCTTGGCCTCAGTATCTGCAAAGCTCTCATAGAGAATGTCATGCATGGAACAGTACGCCTCGATAGCCAGCCAGGCAAAGGAACAACTGTCACTTTCTCGCTACGTTTCAAGAAGGTGCCAAAAGCACGTGCAGGGGATCAGCAGCAGAGGAGCAGAGAACCAGATCCTATGGCCAGGTTTTCTAGCCAGGAGAACAATGGTCACGAACATACTTCAGGTGCTTGCATTGACCTGTCTACTGTTCCAAGACGAGACCTACGGGTCTGTATTGCAGAGGACAATCTGATCAACCAGCGTATCGCCATCAGCTTTGTGCAAAAACTTGGGTTCAAATGCGATGCATATTTGGACGGCTTCAAGACAATAGATGCTCTGGAGCGTGCATCTGAGAATGGACGACCATTCCATCTGGTCCTCATGGATGTGCAAATGCCGCATTGTGATGGTTACGAAGGTATGATGACTCTTTTCTACTGTGCATTCAATTTGCATGTACTAATAACGCGCAGCTACCAAACTCATCCGGAAGCATCCCAATCCTGAGATAAGAAACGTTCTCATCATTGCTATGACGGCTTCAGCCATACAAGGTGACCGTGAAAAGTGTAAGTGCTGCGCTCGGTTAAGTTTGTTCCGGTAGACTAAGAATCTGGTACAGGTATCGCAAGCGGCATGAACAACTACCTGGCAAAGCCTGTGCGCGCGCAGACTCTCAAGGCGCTGCTCGAGTCGTACTTGAACAAGAACAAGGAGTCTGAGGAAATACCGAATTTGGCAATCGAGGCGAAGAAGATGGTCAACGACGCGCTGAAGGAGGCCCAGACACTACCCAACGTCACGAGTGGAAACGAGGATGTCCAGAAGGAGGCGGATGTCCAGAGCGCAGCGATAGAAGCAAAGAAGGCGGACCGGCCATCGGGAGTGCGTATGTCGACTACTCAGCACATACTTCCAAACGGGAAGACGGAGCCTGTTCTACCATCATGATAAAGTTTGTTGTGTTGTGGAGGGGTGCCGCAAGGGGACATGTTGGTCGCACCAGGGTGGTCATGTTCTTTACGAGGTCTGGACGCTGGTTATAGGCTGCATTGCAAGGCGTTTAGTGCACCGAGAAGCCGGGTTCGCAAAAGAGGCGTTCCAAGAGCATCATGGACAGGGCGGTCTAGATGACTTAAGTATTTTCGATATCAATGTGTACATATACGATATATATATAACTTGATACATGTGCATGTTACATGTTTAGCTGGCTATAGGTCATGTGCATGAGGATGAAGGGGGCCAGATTAGGTGCATGTCCTCACCGCATACATGGCACAATTGATGTGTGTGGGCCCGCTAGTACAGGATGATGTACTGCGGTAAGCTGCGGTAGAAGGTAAGTGCTATACTATATAGAGGTATAATCATTAAGAAGAGCGTGGTGTTTTTCCAGCAATGAGTGATGCGACGAAGATTTGATTTACCGTCTCAGCGTGTCCACAGCAAGGGAATAGTTCAGGACGCTCGGGTTTAGGTTTATTACGCACTGTAGGGATTAGCGAGAAGAGGTAAGGTGCACACTAACGTGTCAGCGTATGTTGGTTGTCCATACGCTCCGCCCTCAGCGACTCGCTGCGGTGGCCGAATAGCCGACCAAGGCGGGTTAGCGGCAGGACCAAAGCGCTGCCCGAGCGTGTCGCCGACTCCACCACGGTCGTTTGCAGACCCGCATCATCCGGAAGCGTGCGGCGCAGTCACTCAACCACACAGCGTGTCAGAAGTGGCTCATGAGAACGTGGCTCAAACGGCGCAGTGGCTCAGTTGCCAATCAAGCGCATAAACGGCTGGGGTTCCGCGACACATCACGGCCGTGCTAAAAAGGCCGTCCATGAGGGAATAATCTGTGAACAGCTCACTGCATATCCGAATAGGAGATTGCGTCACGCTCGGCTGCCGGCTTGTGCGCTGCTCAATTACTGGATAGTCGGCATGCCTGCCAGCCGTCTGCTGACTGGCTTTTTGCTGCTGGTGTTTCTTTCCTTCTTTCCTTCTTCCTCATTCTTGTTGATTTGTCCAACTGTTGACTCCCTTTACTTACTTCTGCCTGACGTGCCTTGCCAATTGTTTATATAGTGAACAGGTGTTGCGCTTTCCCTTAATGGTATACGTCTAGATCCACCACTTTACGAGAGCGACCACACATCACATTGCCAACCATGGCCACCATCTCACACTCCAAGCGACCACACTTCCTCAGCAACAACCGAAGCGGGAGCAGCGTCTCCTCACGCTCCTTCTCCGCACCCGTTGAACACTCGCTAAGGGAATACCCACGTGTCTTCCAGGGCACCGATGCCGTGCCTCAGAACCAGAGGGTAGCCCTCCACCGAATCATCGACACACACCAAGCTCTCGATCTCAAGTACGAGCAAGAGCAAGTCTCCACACCCACCAGCACCACAAGCGGACGGCCAACGTCGTCGTCTTCCTCCATCCTATCCAACGACCCCTTCACCCTCGACCTCAACAGCCTACCCGTCCAAGACGCAGAAATTCGAGCCTTCCGCTACCTCCTCCGACTCTGGGACCCAAAATCCTATCCCGAAGACCCAGAATTCGATGCCGCCATCGCACCCCGCAAAGCGCAGTTTGAAGAAAAAGCAATGAAGCACTTCATCAACCGCGTGGCACTCTGGGACGTAAGCGGCGACGCAGGCCAGGGCATGACTCGGAGCATCTTTGCTTTCCGGCGAAGACGCTCACGGGCGAAGAGCGTGTCACAGACGCTGAACGAGGGCGCGGACGAAGGACGGGATGCGCTCAAGGAGGCTACGACGAGAGAGGGGCTAGCGCAGCTCATATGGACACTACTGCATGATCCCAAGGTGCTGAATGAATCGGCGCTTGGGGAGAGGTGTATGGAGGCGCTGAAGGAGATGTATCGGCTGACGTCGCCGACGGGTTGACTGTCCAGAATGCGGGTTGAAATCTATAAAAGATTTATTTTGCTAAGCGTTCTTTTTTCTCTTCTCTTTGAGTACATATGTGTCTAGTTGGGTTGATGGGCTAATAGTGCAATGTGAAAATCACAAAAGTTAATGGAGATAGGGGGTAGGTGCAGATCCAAAAAAGTATGCAATTGTGAAAGTAAAGCTTTGTGCTCAGTCATGTGACATACATATTCCGAGGGAACTATTGTCCTCCTATTTCGAGGCTGAGGAGCCCTTTGAGTGGCTTTTTTTCTTCGATATATCACCAAATCCGATATATGGAGTTTGACTTTGCATGAGCAGAAGTCGTTGCGTAGACCCCTTATCGATGCCTATCATCAGTCCCAGAAAAATGACGTCAAGGGATCATCCCGCTTTTTTGCGGCTTCGGCCGAGTGCTGGAAATAAACCAAACACGTTTCTTAAACCTGCGCCTATCACATACAAATACATGTATACACACCAAAAGCTACGATGCCATTTCTTCATCTTGGATACAAGCGGATTCACTATGCTGATCTGTCGCCGACAAATAGAAAGACGCGGGAGACACTAATCTTCATGCATGGTCTGGGCTCGTCGCAGAACTACTACTATGCAGTATGCCAGAAGCTGGTTAGAAGCGGATTCCGCTGCATAACCTTTGATAACACGGGCGCTGGGCGCTCGCCGTATACCTATGTCGAGCAAAGCATTGACACGCTGGGCGAGGATGTTGTCGGCGTTTTGGATGCCCTGAAGGTGGACAAAGCCGTGTTTGTGGGGCATAGCATGGGAGGGTATGTTTTCCCATTTGTGTCCAGCACAATCAAGCATTTCTGGGGGGTTTTTAAGAAAAGAAAGAAGAGATGATGAGCTAACTTCTGCTATGGTATCGTGGGCGCGCACCTTGCTGCTGAGCGTAGTGACCGCATTGTTGCAGCCATCCTTATCGGCCCCGTCTATCCCAACCCGGGAGTAGGACCTATTTTCGAGAAACGGATTGCGACTGTGGAAAAAGAGGGCATGCAGCCTATGGCAGATAGCATCCCGCAAGCGGCAGTAGGGAGCAAAGCTTCCCCGCTTGCCAAAGCGATGATCCGCGAGTTGCTGTTGTCACAGGACCCAGCTGGTTACGTATCCAACTGCCGAGTCATCATCAATGCAAAGGTGCCTCAGTACGGCGACATCGGCGTGCCTGTCCTTATCCTCGCAGGCGAAGAAGATAAGAGCGCGCCGCTGGAGGGTTGCAAGAAAATGTTCGACGAGATTGGCAGCAGCGAGAAGAAGCTGGAGATTCTACAGGGGATCGGGCATTGGCATTGTCTCGAAGCGTTTGAACAGGTTGCCAGCATGATTGAGGCGTTTTACCACGAGATCCAGTGAACAAGGGGGCCAAAGGCATTAACACGGTCATTATCAACGTAGAACGATGCACGAACCAAGCGTTACGGTGAGAAACGGCGGGGGAGAGAGAAGGAAAGTTTAAACAATGTGTCTGTGTTGAAGTTGTGTTTTATTGAGCAACGGCCATCATGAGGGCGGGTCAGCAACGAAACAGGTGCCAAATCATACCGCTCTTTGGTAGACCAACCTGCGCGGTGTGTGCCTGTGGAGTCGACGACGGGTTCGTGAGAAGCGCACGTGCGAAGCCGATCTCCCAGAAGACTGCATGCAACTACTGCTAGCCAAGTCAAGTAAGCCGTGCCGGCAATCTTGGGGGGCGTGGGTGTTGGCTGCTGGTAATGTCCACGCCGCATGACATGATCATTGGCGCAAGTCCCTGCGCCATGTCTGCTGTATTGGCGGGGCCCTGTTGGCGCCCTCTTCTTATTCCCCCCCTTGGCGCTTTTTTTTATACGACTGGTTGCAGCGGAGAGGGGCCTGTAAGCAGTAAGACGGCGGGCCGCGTTTCCACCGCACTTGATAGCCACCTGGCGGCAAATCTCCAGCAGGGAGAGAGAGAAAAAAGGTACATATGTAAGTATATCTTTAGACCCATGCACAGCACACATGCAACCGCCGTCCCGCCAACGTGGGATTTGGTCCTTGTGTCACGACCCTTACGGCCCCTCCCTCCCTTCCTCCCTCCCCCCTCCACCACCATCGACTACGCGTGTGCCATGCGTAACGCTACTACTGGTAGCCTTGCCCTTCGCCCATCAACCTTGTCCGCGCCAGGTAAGTTGCTTGAGTCGGGCGCGTGCATCTTGGCTTCGCGATGACTGGTGTGTCGCTCTCTTGTTTGATTCGGTCCTTCCCGCCGTCCATGCAGACTTCCAGCCGGCCTGTCTAGTGTGGCTCTAGTCAGTACACGAGGCTGCTGCTCCTTGCCACTTGATATCCTTTGGGACCGCACATCCCTTACCCCAACCTGTCACAAGGTCAGCCACAGCCAGCCTATGAATCCGCCTCGTTGTCGTTATCTGCCTCTCTCACACCCACCCACACACACACATACACTTTTCACATGTCAGGCCCAATGACATCGTCATCATACTGGCCGAAAGTGAGAGAGAGACGCACCCACCCCAGATCCTTTGTTTAAACTCTCTTTCTACGATTGCGTGCGACCTCGTCTGTGACATATTTAGTGCACCTGTCATGCTCTGTCTCAAGACGCACGGAAGCTAACCTCAAATCCCCTTCCCCAGTTTTATTTCTCATATCGCTCCACTAAGTCTGCTTTCAAATACCTTGTCCCCGCGCACGATCAAACCAATCTTGTGAGGCGGTGAACTGGGACCTCTTTTTTTTCTTCTCCCTCGCTACAGCCCGCCCACGCGCTCGGCTCAGCAGCCGCGGAAAACGCTTTGTTGCAAAGGCCGTTCGGTCGCCGCTGCAATCCTACTAGGTACGGGTCTGGACCAGCCAACCAACGGCTCACGTTTACGTTTTGGTCGTTCGGAGCCGCTTCTCTATATACTTAGTCGTAGCCGCCTCCTCGCCTGTTCTACCTGATCGTGTCGGTTGATTCCAATAGTTTTCCAGGCGAGTCGCGCATACTACTGCGTCACTTGACTGGGCCCCCAACAAACTACTTGGTGTTCGCATATCCTCGTTTGCGACTTCGGCCTCTTCCTCTTCTGCTCTCCGTCTCTACTTCTCTTTTTTTCTTCTCTCTCGCCTGCGCCTGTCTATGAGTGAGGTTTTGCGTCCGTTTTGCGTCCGCTATCAATATTCTCTCTGTTTCACATCGCGTGTTGGCACTGGCTGCTGGTATGGGCGTCTTTACCCCTTGAGCACAGAACTTGCCTGATTTGGATACTAACTACCAATGCAGACGAGCATCCGAGATTATCAACGACTAAGTCGATATTAACGGCATCTTAACGATCAATATATCCCACATCTACGTCACGGCCCTTTTTTTTCCTGCTACTTCTAAGCCGTCCTCTTACATGGATCGACAATGGTCCGAATAGATAGTGGATTCGCTGGATCTCAACATTCAAACATGGCCAGCGAAAAACCAGTGCTACTTCACAGGAACAACACGACATCTATCCACCAACGGAGGTCTAAGAAATCGGCTCTCGAGCCATCCTCGTCTTCTGTCCAAGTCGCGAATATGGAAACCCGCCGACCCGTATCAGAGCAGTGCTCAAGACCTCTACGCCAGCAATCCACAACCTCATCCGAGAACTCAACCAACCGATCCAAAAGCCGCGGTCATGGCTCCAAACCCTCGTCTAGGCGTACCTCTTGCACCATAGTCGACCCTTCGCGACCAGCGCGCCACTACCGCGTCAAAAGCTTCCAAACCCCACCCACAGCCGACATCGACGACGTGCTAGCCCTACACTTCCGCAGCTGCAGCATCTTTTCCAACCCCTCCTACCAAACCAACTCTGGCCTCCCTTCCCCCACGCTCTCCCACGGCGACGCGTTCGGCTTCCCCAGCAACACCAGCACCACGCGCTTCAGCACCGACACTCTGCGCGTCGTCCAAGAATCCGACGCGCACAACCACCACCATCGCCCCATCACCGAGCCCGCCCCTCTCCATGACGACGCCACCACCACTGCTGCTGCCGCCAAAAAAACAAACACAACCATGCACTGGACATCCCCCTGCACGCGCCAACGCGAATACCAAAGAATCGACAAAGCAAACAGCGGCCTCCGCGGTTTCCTCCGCAGAATAACCCCCAGATGCGTTTCCGGTCCTCAAGAAAAATTCTACACCAAGACTGACGAAGATGCTGGGTCGGTGCGGCGCTATCGCATCAGCAATGATGACGAGTACGACGAAGATGAGGGCGAAGAGACAGAATACGATTTACAGGCGATGAAAGAGAAACAGCATCAAGGTGTGAGACCGAGGACTAGTCCTGTGCCGAGACCGGGATCGAGACCGGGGATTAGGAAGAGGTGGACGTGCTTTTAGGCGCTTTTTTTTTGGGTGTGAGGCGGTACGATGATGATGACGATGAGGGAGTTGCATACAGTTCTCTCCTACGAGTGCGCTGTTACTATCTGCTCTTCTTTCTCTAACGCAGCGATGAAGGAGTGCTCGGCGTACCATTGCTCTCGCCTTGTTCTTTTCTTATCTTTTTTTTTTGCTATTTACAGCAAAATCGAGATGGAGCAAGGCGTATATCTTTTTTTCCTTTTTCTGGGTCGGTTTCTTTCTTTTTTTGTTTTGTTGGAGGCATTTCCTTTTTTTCCTTTCTCACAATCACGATACCCACGGCATTTATATGTTTTGCGTGCGAAGTCTTATTGTTTATTATTAGCGGTGGTAGAGAGAGAGAGAGAGAGAGAAAGAAGGAGAGAATGAGGGAGAGAGGGGGAAGAAAGCATTATACCAATCTTAACGTACCTAGAACCTAGAAGATGGGGTGGACCGAAATTTTGTAATTTGTAGTTTATTGATCTTTCGTCAAGTAGTTACATATACATGGCACTTTGCACTTCACATCATGACACGCGCGCAAAACCTCATCGACACAGCACAAAGAAAAGCGTAATACGAAAAAAAAAAACACTCCAAATTTCATATTTGCACATCTAACAACTTATAACTTAGCTTCCTCCTTCACACTCCCAATCTTAAGCTTAGGCGCATACTTCTTCAGCACATGCTCATTATGGTACTATTATCTCCCTGTTAGCTTTCCTCTCTCTCACTCTCTCACTCCAAAAACCAAAAGCGCCCACATCTCCACTCCTTCTCCCTTCTCTCCCTCTCTCTCTCTCTCCCTCCCCCTCCCGGAAAGAAAAAAAAAAGAGAGATACGTAAAAACATACCTTCCAAAACTGCTTACTAGCATCCTTCCCACCCACCCTCTTCAGAATCTTAGAACCACCAGGATGCTCCTCGACAAACTCATCCATCTTATACACATCCCCATCGATGATAATGTACAAGCCCGTCTCCACCGTGTTGTGCTCGGCAACTTGCTTCGTAGTCAGGGATTCAGACATTGTGATTTCTTGTGTATGCGCGCGTGTGCGTGTACGTGTGCGTTCTCGGGTTAAATCGGTCGCGAGGGCGAGAGGTTAGGGATTATGGTACTGATAAGCTGGTAACGTTTATATATATATACACGTGAATGTGCGCGTTTTCGTGGGAGCTGGTGGGAATAACGAAGAAGGCACGGAGGGGAGAACAAGGTCCGGGGTTAACGTCTTATGGAGCGAGGTTGGGGGCAAGGGAAAGTTGGGGCGGTATGATGTGGAGATGTTGTGTCCATGTGCCGAGGTTGAATCGAGGTACCCGCCAAGACTCCCCGGGGTCGACGAGTAAGCTATTTTGTGCATGTTGTGATTGGTTTGGGCTAAACTACTGTATTTGGGCTTTCCTGTAACGTTGTATTGTGCCATTTTTGCGACATGTTGGTTTTCAGGCACGTGGGCAATGGTGCAATATCTGACAAAAGAAACAGGTGAGGCTACGCTGAAAGCACGTCATTCCCCTGGTACCCCTGCTGCATGTTTATCAAACCGGCTTATCTGCCTATCTGTCGTGATGGGGCTTGGGCAAAGAGCATGTCCATCTCGACAACTTCATTGACCTCAATCTATCCATTGGAAGGATAATGGAGGTACGTGTGGGACATGGGAATCACTATATCGTCTCTAGTAGACCTAACTCCAATATCTTTGTAAGGGGAAAGGAATCGCAATGTAGTCCAGTTCATCGGCAGCGCGGTCCGCGTAGCTTAGAAACAGGGAGAAGGAAAGGTAACACAACGCCAACGCCCACGGCCTATGCTGGTGGGAATCCTCACCAACACCATTCCCAATCTTTTCCACGGAAGGTGATGTACCTTGCACCCTGTCACAGAACTCAATAAGGACTGTTGACAATGTCATTGCGACCGAGATAGCTTCCTCGCACTCCACTCCTCCTTGCAGCCCCAACACGACTTGGTGTTGCGATACTCTCCCTCGTTGGTCGCTGCAGTGCCCTCTTCGCAACCATATCAACCTCGTTTGGTAGTGCAACGATCAAATTCTTATCGGAGCCGAACTTAAAGTTGTCGGCCTTCACCTCTTCAGAGTAGCGCTTAATGTTGTACGGATCCTTGCGATTGGCAAGAACCTTCTTGAGGCTCCAGGTAACGATAAAGGGACCAGTAGCCGTGATGATGGTGGTTTCTTTTTCGTCAAGACCCGTGTTGAAGCGTGCAGTGGTGAAGGATATTGGAAGTTTGGTTTCGTGCTGGAATTGGGCGACGTGTGCGGGTGTGAGTGCGAGACGTCGGGGTTGTGGTTTATCGTCTTTAGCGAATGACTTTTCAAAACCAAGTTTGCCGTCGTTCTTGCCGCCTTTCTGAAGCGCATCGATGAGAAGAAGGTAGGTTCGTGTAGTAGCGAGTACCCAACGACCATCTGCAGAGACATCCATGCCAATAATTGGATCTCCTAACGCGGGTATAAGAGTCTTTGCGTTGATACCAAGTCTGTCAAACAGACGGATATCTCCCTTCTCTGACGCTACAGCAATGTGACCCTTGGCGGTAGTCGCGGCCGCAGAGAACGCATTCTTGGTGGCGTATTGTTTCAGCTGATCATCAACAAGCTTGTTGCCAGCCAAGCGAGGGTCTACACGGTAGAGGGCGTTGTCGGAAAGACCCAAGAAGGTTTGCTCGCCACTCATTTGAGCGAATTTCTGTATGCTGTTAGTTCACGATGCAATGTTTGAAAATCATGATTATACATACGTTTTCTGGTGCAAAGACCTTGACCGGAATGTCGTCGTGCACCTTCCATTCGTCCACAACAGTGCCAGTCTCAAGGTCCATCCGGTAGAGGTTGTTCGGGTTCTCCAAATTTTGCAGAATCATATCCCGATCCTGCTGATGAAGCATGACCTTGTGGGGATTAAAAGCCTTGCCCTTTGGAGTTTTGATGTTTGAAATAGTGGTGGAGAATTGCAGCTGATTGTCGGGAGTGTGCTTGAAAACACCTATCTTGTCGCCTCGCACAACGAACGACCTGTCATGCTTGTAGCCTACAGCCAACTGTGAATTCTCGTCTCCGTCCTTGGGGCGAGTCTCGACGTCGTCCTCAGATTCGTCTAAGTCGTAGTGTTCACTACGCTGGTCGTTGGTATCTTCCTCTTCCTCTTCATATTCTTCCTCTTCTACCTCCTCCTCCTCCTCTTCTGGAACATCCTCCATGGTCAAATCCTGGAATGCTTCCAGAACGTACTCGCGATCAGTGTCCTTTGCTTTGCCCCATTTCATCTTGTTCAAGTGCTCCCAAAGTGCTTGCATGACACCCTGCTGTACATTCTCGAGTTCTTCTTGTTCGTTGAATTTTAGAAGCCATGAGTATGCAGAGCCGTCTTCTAGGTAGTGATTGAAGATGAACGACTTGTATTCATAGTTGAAAACCGGGTTGATATCCTCCACAATGGGCTGTCCAAGCCACTCCCGCTCCTCACCAACAATGTGTAACCAGTAGTTCCAGTCGCCGATCTCCGTCACAGTAACATTGACCTTGGGATCCTGTCTAATGAACGTGCCCGAGGGGAAATCAAAGAGGTGAAGCTCGGCATCGCCCTCAACCAAGGTTTCGAGAGCCTGTGGCTGCGCGGCAGATGGTGGAGCGGCGGTGGCATCTTCCTGCTCCGGAACAGCGGCCTTGCCAGCAACCTTTTTCTTCATGTTTTCCTTTGTAGTGTTAGGGAAGAGGTCTTCGGTGGTTGGGGGCTCGATCGGTCGGACGAAGGTTGTTGAGCTCGTAGGGCTAGCAAGAGGGCTTGCGTCAGGAATGGGCTCTTCGTAGTAGGCGAGTGTAGCAAGGTCGTCTTCAGTCGCGTGTTCGTGACTCCGCCTGAACTTTCTCTCGTACTGGCACTGCAGGGCAACACGCTCAAAGAGGGCAGCAGTTTCTGGTTTGACTGAAGGATCGCAGACAAACTCCCAGAGGTCGTCAACGTCTCCACTCAGGTCGCGCCAGGCAAAGATCTTCTCGCCGGTGGAGCGTACGTCGTCGCGCAAGCGGAGGTCCTCGTCAAGCAGGAAAGTTTTCTCGTCCTTGTCTCCAGCTAGCGCATCTAACGCTGCGTCCTCGTCCTCCTCGGCAAGCAGGTCCTCTTCACCCTCCTCGTATGCGCGCTGGACAACGAGCTGGTACTGGAACTCTTGTCCCGTGCGGCGGATGGTGGCAGCGGCGTCTTTGAAGATAAGCTCCGAATAGCCCTTGACAGAGCGAGGCCGAACAAGATAAAGTTGGCCCTGGGGGATTTCGACGATGGTTTCCTTGGAATTATCACCAAAGACAAGTTTACCCACTGGTGTTACAAAGTTAGTGTCGTCGCAGCAACGGCGGGGGAGGGGCATGCGTAGGTGAGAGCAAGAAGCAAGCAAACAAAGCGGCACTCACGGTTTCGGAGCATAAACATGGCGAGGACGCGGTGTGGCTATACGATGACGAGCTGAGCTGGTCGTGAACTCTAGGAAAACTGCGCGTCAAAGCCCATCCAAGAAAAAGCGACAGGCGCGGGCTACAAGGCAGAGGTATGCAATCATCACGACAGCAAGGGTCCGGTATGCAATCGCTCGCTTAAGCAACGTCATGCTGGCCTAGCGGCAGGCAGCAAGCACTCCCCACCACCCAAGCCAAGTACCACGGACATGTGTCTTGCCAAGCACCATCGTACGTAGGTGTAGAGCCAGTAAAGCACTGGTGCCAATCATTTTAACTATTCCTTTCATGCCCTCTGTACGCCGATCCGTCCGTCTTCCTAGAAAATACACTTTCATAGTGTCTATCTACACTTTCATAGTGTCTATCCAACCGCTTCTGCAAAACTATACAAAAAAGATTATTTCGTCACTTTTTTTGACCGTTAGCTAAACATAGGAACAAGGAAAAACAAAAAAAAGAGGCCAGGGATGATGCGATTGCCATCGCCCGCTCCATCCCGAGTTG